GACTTCTAGTGAAGTCCCTGGTCTCTCCTGCTCCCAAGGAAAACCGATTACCACAATCAGCGCAGCATGGTTGCCAGTCAATAATATGACTCATAAACTCATCATCCCCCCCTCGCCCTCCATGCTGCCTCCTTTTTCCTCCCTGCTGCCTCTCACTCTCTCCCACTCCATCACTCCCATAACCGCCACCCCTCCTGTGTGGTGTCCTGCTCACTTTCCATCTGCAGCTCACTCGTTCCAATCCGGATCACACTTGAATGACAGCGGGGGTGGGCAGATGTGTCGTCAAGCATTTTTGAAGTGGGGGGCTTGGTTGGAGAATTCTTGGAGATGTAAGAGAAAATAACACTCACCAGTGCTTTGCACTTACAAGCGAGCAGCTACAACTTTAGACTTTTTGGAGCAGGCTGCTAGCAGCATGCCAGGTGCCCTGGTGAAAAGTATTTGGCATCGACTCTGCTGTTAGACGGGTACAAGATAGCTCTATCATGGTTGGTGTTAAATAGAGGAGGGAGAAGAGAGTGGCAGGGTATCTAGTGTGAGAAAACACTGTGTAAACTGTGAGAACACAGTCAGTGCTTCATTGCAGGAAAATATGGATTGCAGAAGTGCGTGAATTGTGACATCATCAAATTGGTTTTGAAAGGCAAAACAATGATTCAGGCTTAAGTTCAGTTGGTTGGAAATTACACTCTCATAATGGCAAACGAACCATGTCAAAAGCCTGATTACTAGCCCAATAGGGATCAATACAGCTTTGTACACAGACTATCACATAATTAGTTAATGTATCAAAACAATTTAAAATGATATTACAAGATTGGCATTCACCAAGATTCTGGCTATACATATCGCTTCACATTGACAAGGCAGTAAAGGACACCTGTCAGGGTCTGAACTCAAATAAATTTTGGTTGAAGGCAGTACGATAAACATAAAAGTGAAGTGCTCAAATAAAAATCTGCAGCAGTGTTTAATCTTTAATCCATAGCCAAGAATCGATCTTTACAATATGCTTTATTGGATTGCACAGTGGATGTGATAAAGTTTACGGTTCCACACCCTGACAGACAGACGCTGTGCGACCCCAATCAGATTCTAAGCACTGGCTCTTTGTATGCTGCCATTTGTTGTTCCATGCTCTCTTTTGATGGTGAGAATATTTTCCTCACTCTTCTGCCTCACACATTTCTTATTTTAGATATCAAAGGGAGAGTCACCACACAACATCACACGCACACACGCACGCACACACACACACACACACACACACACACACACACACACACACATACACACACATACACACACACACACACACACACACACACACATACACACACACACACACACACTACTGTTCTGTCTTTTCATGCAGGATTATGAGTAGCTTTTCAACTAAAGTATGTAAAGGTTTATGATTTTTGTATGCCCATCTTGCACACAAACGTGTACACATACACAGAAAATGTATTTATTTCAAAAATAAACTGTAATGTATCAGTAATCCTCGACAAAAGCACTGCGTCCACTGAACGTGCTACCCAGACTGAGAGAATCACACAGAGGGCAAGTACAGCTTAAGTGGTTTATCTATCTTAATAGAAGGTTCTACTATGACTTTAACTTGTAAATTACACCAGGGCCCAATTCTTGTTTTTATTATATCTTACCATTGGGAACCCTTGTTTGCAAGTGTGATGGCTCTTTTGTCTTCTACGCTGATGACACACAGCTTAATTTATCATTCTCTAAATCTATCATTTTTCTAGGCTGACCATGCACATTAAATTATGTTACGCATTACAGATGGATGGCTCAGAGTTTCCTCCAGCTAAATGGAGGATAAAATTAAAGTTGTTATTTTTGGTGATTAACATGTTGGTAAAACAAATTCAGCAGTGCTATGGCGACTTTACTTTTACTATTAAACCTCTGTCCACAATTTTAGATGTTTGACTTTGATTTCAGCTTTTAAAATCTTATTAAAGGAGCATACATGGTTGCTTCTTCCACTTAATATTACTGAAATCCAACCTGTCACTTGTCATACTGAGAGAATTATTCAAACTCTGGTAATTCCCTGCTTAGACTACTTACCTGTCTAAAACTGTGAAAAGCGTTTAACTGTCAGCAATAATTTTAGAGCTCAGTGGGAAGATCATTGACTAATACATGATTAATTTTTCACTTGTGCTGATTTACATCCATTACTTGCTTATACATTTTAGAATTGCTTAAAACTGTTATTTATTACAATTAAGGCATTAAATGGAAAAGCATTTATATAGAGTATATTTCAGAACAGAAATGTTTCAGAAACCATATGTTACTTCACAGTCGCTTAGATCATCAAAGGACTTTTAACTGTCCCACCATCTAGACTATAGACTACAGGGGACAAAGCCTCAGCACTTAAAGGCTAAACAAATAAAAAATCCTGATAATGCTGCTTAATGTGTTATATTATATATAACTGGCTAAAACCTAATAATTATAAGCCTACCTGAAAAATAAACACCAAATTTACCTTCATCTTTTATACCATCTGTTTGCTTTGTTGTATTTTTACACACTTCACTAAACAGAAAATTGTAGCAGGTCTACAGCTTATCTTGGTTTGACCATACTGTATAGCCACACCAGTTCTATGTAAGTGTTAGTAAGTTAGTTCCAGGGGTCTCTTCCACTCATTAAGAAACATGGTTTTGCACTATCCAGATGTGTACAAGCATCTAGGCAGTGTTTTGCTCAGTGCCATCGCAGAAAGGCCCATAAAAACTCAGTCAGCTGTGTTCTTGGATCAGCTGGTTAGAAGACAGGCGCAGGAAGCAAGTGAAGCAGACTTTGAAAATAGCTCTGAGCTGGCAGAATATGGGACGCAGCATACATGGGTGCCAGGGTGGGAAGCAGCCATGCAATGGCCACTGGCACACAAGCCCCACAGTGTCACATGAAAGTAGCTAGATTGTCTTTGATTAGAGCTCTAAACATTGTGTGAGTCATGACTGCTTCTAAGATCATCACAGACAAATGTCTCATCAATAGTGATGGGACTCTGAGGCGAGGTTTTACATTAAAGTTTTATTCTCTGCCATTGTTTATGAGGGGAGATTATTTCTGTCTCAAAGCGAAGACATTTCCCATCACAACAGACTGTTACACTGTAATAATTCCTGGCACCTTCAAACTGTCTCATCAGTTTGGATAAAACTTTGATGAAATAAACTTCAATAGCAGCCTTTTTTCCTGCATGGTTGTGAATGAGGGTTGCCTGAAAGAAAATATCCACTCATAACTATGTATTATATTCTATTATATCCAGTCTTTTGAAATGCAAATGATAAGGCTTCCAGTCATGAGTCTTGATTAGAATGAGTTTACTGAAAAAAAAATCCTGGCAACATTCTTTATTCCCCATGACCCTGAGCATGAGAAGCAGGTATGGAAAATAAATGGATGGCTTATCCAGACTATACCCCCAAGGGAATGGTTGGGTGTTCAATAGGATTATGGAGTTTAGTGTTGTAAATAATTCAAACATGCCTTAAACTCACTGACATTTACAGAGATTAGATCATATTTTCACTTTGAAGTTGTATTCAAAATTACCTGCTGAGATACTGTACGTTGTGGGAAATATAAAGAGAAAAACAGTTGACTTCACATTTTCACAAAAGTAACACTGTGCAAAGACAACTTTTTCTCCAAAGAAAACATTTCAACCTGACAGCTCACTGCAACATTAAGGAGCCATAAAGCGGCGGATTGATGTTTTAACGAACTATTATTCATTATAAAACTCCTCTCCTCTTCAAACAGATGGACCTTCACCCCTGAGACAAGGATGTCTAAACATACTCAGAGTACATATCTAAGCACACCGACATGCACACATACACATGCATGCACGCACATACACATGCACGCACACATATCCAGATGGTCGCAGATCTCTTGGGATGTTCAATTTTATTCAATCATTTCAACAGACCAAGGCATTTGCTTAATGGGTAAGGTGCCATAAAAACACACTCTGAATAGAGGCAAAGGCAATCATTAACTGCTGATGAACCAGAAAATGTCTGATTCATTCCTGTGCTTGATATTTCAAATTTACTGTCTTGAATCCTATTAGCGCTAAGACAGGCAAATGGAACTTTCATATTTCTTTGTTTGTGCATTAAACAGAAGAAACACTTCTATGTAAGCAAAATTGAAAAATAAAACCATAACCCCAAACTGCTGTTTTTGGTTACAAAACACCCCCAGTGCCCTTTCTATGGTATACAGTATCTATAACCTCCCTCCTTGAAGCCAGAGTGTTTTATTCTGGGAGAGGAGGATCGACAGGATTTAGAGACAAACAGAGTGAGGGAGAAATAAGACATACTTGAAACTGTAACATTGTCTCAACCTCCCCGTCTTCCCCGTCACCTCTCTGAATCTGAGCACCATCCTTCCCACCCTGGAGGTGACTGACAGATGGGATCAGCCTGAACATCACTCAGAACAAGCTCTCTACCTCCCGTCACCCCGGCAAAAACATATGATTTACCACGGCCGTCCACACTGCATCCTCCGCCTCTCATCATCACTCACAGTCGCAAGCCCACAATTCAGCATCATTATAGGCTACTTAATGTGACTCACACACCAACATGCGCATCATTCACATTTGGTTGAAACATTGCTCTCACATGCGTGTCTACCTTCATCATCCCTCTCTTATTAATACAACATAGGCCTTGAGACAGATTCTCAAAGTCCCACTCCCACCAACCCTCTCTGAAACCCCTGTACTGTTTCTGTAGCTAAACATATAAACACACACTAACTCAAATTCACTGTATCTTCCCATTTCTTCACTATATCTCTTCTGCTGTGTCACTCTCTTCCATCTCTTATTCTCTTTTTCTTTCTTGAATTTACAGTGAGAACATGAATGAACAAATACAGTGCACACACACTTGCAGGAAAGCAAAGGAAGTCATACGCACGCTAACAATCCTCTCCGAGGTGCCCCCTCTGGAGATGGTGGTCCCGTTGAGTCCCACCAAAGACGGCAGAGTCTGAGACATCCAGTTGGTCACCATGGCCATGGTGCTGAGCACTGCCCCGATCTTTAGCATGGGAACGCTCATGTTTGCTTCCTGTGGGGCCCCAGCGCAAACGGCCCTACAGCCAGCCCTACCCTGCCCTGCCCTGGACCTCGGCTCCAGTCAACCCCTCTCTGCTCCAGACAGACTAGGCAGGGAACCAGCCAGTCAGCTTCTGCCTCAGCCTGAGCAGCAGCAGAGCCCCCAGAGCTGGTAAAGCACAGTTACCAGACTCACACACCACTGGCTCAGTCAAAGGGACAGCCAGAGACCGGTTAGAGGAAAGCGGCTCACATCCAACAGCATCACGCTGGAATCTTCCCTCTCAGAGTGACTGCCTCAGCCTCACCCCCTCCCTCTCTCTCACTCTCTTTTCCTCTCTCTCACTTCCTCACTCTGCCCTTGTCTCTCCCTTTCTCTCTCTCTCTCTCTCTCTCTCCCTCTCTCTTACCCTCTCTTCCTCAAAATGCAGAGCTGCGCATTGGCTGCCTCTCTGTCTCATCCCCTCCCAATCAGCCTCTGCTCTATCCTTGCCAGCCCTGTTTTGCATGCATGTATCCATTCTTTTCCTTTCCTCTCTTTCTCTGACATTTGGCTGTTCTCTTATGACTCACTATCTTGGTGAGTGTGCGTGCACATATTTCTGAGGCATGGAGATCAGAGAGAGACTGATTTCAGGGGGCTGATCTGTGCTCTGTTATGTGACATGTGTGCGCCCAGGGCACCCTAGGCACAGTAGAGGGTCCTGCAGCCTCATAACACTGTCTGTACTGGATGGAGCAGTAAGGATATAGAGGGGTGGGTGAATATATCTAAGGTTGGCCAGGGGCTCATCAGGGGAGACAAAGGCAGGTGTTACAGCAGTTGGAGAGATCCAGGTGCTGCTGCCCATGGCTGCTTTTGACAGCTTATCCATCATTCTGCTTCTTGACATATCCTAAATCAGGCGGTAGCTTACACTTTTACAGTATCTTACCAACTCCACTCTGCCTGAGGCATAACCATATCACCATTGTCAGTTACAATGTCTTCTTGACACTTACTGTGGAAAATGTTGATGATGCTCTAAAAGTAGTACATGAGGATGAAGATTAAATTGACATAAATTACGTAATCATGGTTTGTAGTAGGTTAAAGCTATCAATACACTTAGAATGTAAAACTGATAAATAAAGGTTGGATTTGGCCATACCAGGCTGCTACAGCATGCTTTCCTTGAATAAGGAGGATTACATGTTATTTTTCCAGTGGTATATTTTTTGCCATTGTTATATTGCTATAATCCAAATGGCTTTAGCTTTCAGCACAATCACAGCAGGTAAGCCAGTGTCAGATATTATACCAATCACTTCACTGCCAATTTTAGTGTCATTTTACCTCAGGGACTATGCCTCAAGCCTGATTTGAGCTTATTTCAGGACAGACTCTACGTGTTCTGAAGTTTAGATCAACCCTTTGAATGTGGGGTTGTATATTGTCTCCAAATCATAGCTGTCTCAATTTGCCACTCGCCTTAACACCAATGGGCCAGATGGAATGAGGTATGAAGCGATATGTGAATTGGAGGTGTCTAACATTTTTTCTTGAAGCCTGAAGCCTCTCCTCGCAACAATTTCAAGCAAGATACCGGGCCACTGGCAGTGTCATGTTGCGCCCTAAACAGCCATGCATAATGATGACAGAATGGCCTACTCAGACAAAACGGCCAGGTCATCTCCATTTCTTCCCTGCTTCCTGGTCTGCTGACTTATTAATTTTGTCAGTCATGGATGGGCTCCTCTCCCCATCCAGTCACATTGGGTGAGTGATATGGGCTCCTCTGTGTGGGGTGTACTGTGAAGTGATATGAGAAGAGACAGCTTTCTGAGCCCCATCCAAAAAATGTCAGCCTTCCTCAGCTCACCTGCTGGCTCCCACATCAGTCTCGCCAGTGTTGGCTCCTCTATTTCTGCATCAATACTGCCCCCTTGTGGATACCAGTGGAAATGCACCCATTAAACTGTCTAACTTCACAGCCAGAGAGCTAGCCAGTGCCTGTCATCCTTGTCAATACTGAACCTGGTGACAGGTAGTGGCCTATTCATGAGAATGTGTCAAATAGATATAAGGGGCATGTGACAGCACTGTTTAGAGTCACACTGTTCCATTTCTAACATATATTTTAGTGGTGAGGCGAAAAAAAAAGGGTTCAATGCAAAATAGTGTAAGCATTCACACAAACACACTGCGGCTGCCTGCTGTTTTCTTAGTTGGTTTAGCCAATGTCCAGCAGCATGCTGAAAATAGACTGGTGCCAAGTGAATATATAATGTATATCATCTAATAACAATAATAAGTGATTTGTTATTTACCAAAAAGTTGATACCTGGCACACTGTATGTCTGAATCTAACCAATCAATATGATGTGCATGCAATATTTATCAGGCAATTATACTTAAATATTTAAATGCAGTGGTGTTAACTCTGTTTTTTTGTTTTGCTCACAAGCTTTGTGTGGCTGAGGAAAGCTATGTTTTTTATCATACTATACTATGTTTCCTTTAATGCACCATCTAAAAGGAATGCAGTTATCGACATATTCACAGGGTGGCAGCAAAGATTTAAACATAGATGTAGACAGCCTTTACTCTTGTATCCAAGATTCCGTACACAGCTTCCTCAAAGAAAACCTGGTGACAGAGTAAGAAGGCTGAATGAAAAGGAGAAGCATTCACGTTGGAGCTTATTGATGTACCATCTTGGATAATTAAAGAGACTAGCCACCCCCTGTACAACTGTGACCACTATGCAAGTAAGCTGGATAATTCCGGCAAGTAGAACATGAAATCCTTGGCTAGAGCACATTTGTTTCTTTAATTTCCCTCCAGTGGCTCCAATTTGTACAGTTTGACTGTTGATTATGTGCTTAATAATGCCTTATCCAGTACTTGGATGAAGCGGAAAATGCAAAGACAGCAAACATGCACGCACGCACACACGCACACATGCACACATGCACACGCACACACGCACGCACACACACACACACACACACACACACACACACACACACACACACACACACACTTGTGTGAACCCTATTTGCTCTACAATTGTGACAACCCTGTTTGACATAATGCATTTCCTAGCACCTACCCAACAATTCCTATCATCCAAACTACATACCTTACCCCGATCCTCACCTTAAATGTTTCTACTGTAACTACCCTTTAATGATTTAATTAAGTTTTTTTTATATAATTTATATTTACTTTTATTTATTATCTGTTCTGTCTGAAACAATTTAATTAGATTGCAAACATTTTTTAAATATATATTTTTGTATATTCTTTAATTCTTAACTATTCATATTGACCAAGTGGAGGGAATCTAAGCAGGGTTGAACCTGATCACAACCTGGAGGGGAGACTACATGAAAAATATATGGAGGATGAGAGGCTGGGATCGTTGTTGTCTTCCCTAAGGCCTAACCAACATCTTTTAAATATTTTATATATTCTATTTGGGAGTTTTTTAATAAGGTGCTTTATCATTAGAGGATTATTTATTTGAACATAATACCTATTCTTTACCTTTACAGAGCTCTAAGGGCTATTCAACTGAAGAAAAGCCAGACAATCCTTTAGATTAGCAGGATTGTCCTAATTTTTCAAAAATATCATCACTAAAAATTTGAATTGGTCCTCACAAAGTTAGAGGCAGTTATAATGGCCGATGGTAGAGGCCATGTGTATAATCCTTTTTATGTTTTGCTTTTTAATGATCACATAATTCATCATAAATCAATCAATCAATTATTTTGATATACTAATCATTAAGAGTCAGCAGATATGACTCAGTTTCAGATAGTAGGGACAACGGTCAATGATATATTAAAGCACAGTGACTTTAGATTAGACATAAAGAACATTTTTCCAGACAGTTCCTCATTTATTCAGATAATAGATTATTACCACATCCAAATAAAACCTTAATGACAATTTCCCCCAGCCCTCTTTATTCTCTCTGTTCTCTAGTTAGCATTATTTGTAATAGGATAGTACACAACTCTATTCTCTTTCTAGTTTGATGAAAACATTTTTTTCTCATAGAGAATTTTTTATTTATTTGTGCTAATCACAAAATACTGTGTGCATGATGGGCCTGTTTGATGTAAAATAAGTGAAGACATAGAGGCTGTGCCATCAGAAACTCCCACATCATATTTCCTCTCAGAGGTTTTCACCTTTTTAACCTTTCATTCTATTTCAAGGCATCTTTTAACGTTAATAACTAGCTGTGTAGAGTGACGTGTACCCGAACTCTTTCAAATTTAAAATGCATCTCACAGAGTGCAGGTCAGATGCCGTCTTTTGTAAAGTGACGGACCAAGTATAGGATGGGAATAATAGGTGTGATGAGGACAATCTGCCATACCTCAAAGAATTACAGTCTCTGCCAATCATCTGTCTAATCACAGAGTCTGTTGGCAGAACAAGCTTTCATTAAATATTAGCTAGAGAGGAAGTCGGCCATTTAACCTGTATTAATTTAATCCTTTTTGATTAATTTCCACAGCCATTCCTCATAATTTCCACTCTAATAATTGGCCAGCCTAATTTTCGCTGTGTCATTATCTCCAATTCTCTGTCGCTCTCTTTTGTTCTTCTTCTCCATGAATTTTATTTAGCCTTTTACTCCTCTCACTCTCTCTGTTGTCTCTCTTGGCCCCTCTGGCAATAAGAAAAGATGGCATCATATCATGTGTTTCACCCTGCATGTGTCTTGGCTTCTACTATTTCTGTCCCGATTTTATTCACTGGTGATCTTATCTGTTCTGTTGCATACTTGGGCTACATATTGTGGAAACTATACTGTGGAACAACTACTGTACATGCATACATGTTCTGCGGCTTTTTGGTGCCTCTACATAGACATGTCAACATGGCCTTGCGCTTTATCATAAAAAAATCCACTCTGCTCCTTGCCTGTGGGCATGCTCTATAAAGGGCATTTTTAATTAGTTCAAATGGTGAAAAACCCCACCAACTGCAGAAATAGCAGCAAACCCATGGATGGCAGTAGAGCGCTACAAAGCCCCGAGGTCATAGGGACAGGCTCTGGGTGCGATAACAATACTGGGAAGGAGAAAGCAACAAACACTAGACACATTCTCACTGAGCACAAACACACAGCCAGCTACAGATTCACAGCTGAAGCATAGGACCAAATTACACCTCAGCTAATTACACAGACCTCCTTCATAATGATGCAGAGCTGTTATGACTGAGGCAGCGAGGCTGCACACAAACCCCCGCCTGAGCTCCAAAAAGATGCTGGAGTCATCTGGGTCTAAGAATACTGGCTATTTTTCTGAGTCATAATTCATTAATTAGATGATGGACATGGAGGCCCACTGCCTTCTTAATATATCAAGATCAA